GTGTGGGTTACATTTCAATCCGAAAAGTTGTGGATTTGGAACACTTTGAGTTTCACCTCTCTTCTCCTTTGAGCTCCGAAAATTAAGGTAGGGATAACCTACTCTATTCTATGAGTTTTAACATAAATTTTTGTCATTTTGATTAGATGGTGTTGTTGGGAAATTTTGAGAAAGTTAGCGTTTGATTTGAGGTTATAATAAGGGGGTTTTCAAATGTTAAAACCTATGTGTGTATGAGACATTGAAAAATGAAATTGTTGTTGTTAAATCGATGAAATTGAGCCTTTGGGCTAATATTGAGAAAAGGGAAAAATGTCCTAATTATGTTGAATAATTAATTTGAATAATTAATTTGGAGAAATGTGGAATTGAAGTGAAATTCATGAAATTGGAAAATTATGGGAGTAAATGGTGTAGTTGGATAATTTAATCACTCACCTACGAAAATGTCGATATTTTATCTGTTGATAAATTTATTATCTGTTTAGAGATAACTGTTTTGAGCTATCGGTGGAGGATAGTCTTGATTGTTGTAGACATTGTATGATGATTAGGGAAAACTGAAACTAATCACATTGAATATGTCATTGAATATGACGGTTGGAATAATACAACAAATGTGTGTATTAATTGATCATTGTATATGATAAGTGTTTAAATACATTGTATATGTATATTGTTTGGGAGGAGATGGGGGATGTACTTCATGGTTTGAGAGGAGATAGGGGATGGACTCTCAAACCTGTTTGGGAGGAGATAGGGGATGGACTCCACTGATACAACAAATCTATGTAGCACTTGAAATATAGAAGTGTTTTAATATGAGTTATATTCTCATGTGAATTGTGAAGTATGGAAGTGTTTTAATATGTGTTATAGTCTCATTGAATTGTTTGGCTGGGTTCTGAGCCATAATTATGAATCGAAACTGTATAAGTGAAGGAAACTGAAATGAAAAAATGGATGTACTTGATGTTGAATTAAAAAGTGTTGTAAGTTGGTTTATAAGTGTCAACCATATATCGAATGCTATTGTTTTAGTTATTTCTTATACTTGGTTTAGTATATCTCTACTAGGCATTGGCTCACCCTATATGGGACATCATTTTCAGGTTCAGGTGATATGCCACTTCCAAGGACATAGCTTGGAAGGCTTAGAGGCTGAAGACTCTTTTTTTTTGTTGTTTACCTTTTTGTGTATTACATGTAAATTCAAGCCGATAGCTTAATGTGTATGAGTTAGTACTCTCTTTTTTGCAACCAAGTATTGGCTTGGAAAGTTGTAAGCTCGTAGGGCATTTAGGGTTGGTTTGGGATGTCCTAAAAAAGTGCACTTTTTGACTTATTGGTGGGTTTGGATTGGGTTTGGGTTCGGTTTGATGTGATGTGTTAGAGAGGTGATGTGATTTAAATAAGATGATGTGACTTAAATAAGATAGTGACTTTTTGACTTTTTGACGTATTTAGTACATGCCAAACTAGCCCTTACTTTTGTTATCAACATATAATACTTTTGTGATAAATACTGTGATGAATAAATGTAAACTTTATTCTCTTGAATATATTGTCAATTTCTTGTATCATGAATATATGAAATATGGGTTTATTTTGAGGGCGTTACACATTTACTACTTATCTAGCTCAACCTTACAATTGTCTCACTTGCCGATAACATTTTACTAATTAAAGTAAAAAAAATATAGAAATGGAAAAATTGAGGGTAAAGTTGACGTATGTACGAATTTAGTAAACTACATATTATGAGGGCACGAACTATTGCCATTGCAAAGGGAAATATAAAATCTTCACTTGAGTTGAAGACCAAACCACATAATCAATTGAAACTTTTCCATTTGAATTAAAAACATCTAAATGCACCCCAAACCTTGTCTCTGTGGTATATTTGAACTTGATTGAGTTTCTTTTTTTGTTTTTTTTTGGGTGTGCGTGTGCGATTCTCCGACACCCAATACATGGTGTGTATTCCATTATTGAATTATTTGTTTCTTTGAGAGAATATTACTCTTTAATGACTTTGTATTAATAACTTGCGCATGACTTTAGCTATGTATTCAAAAGTGATCAAGCATAGCAAACTGTCAAGTTTCCTATGCAATTTTAGTTTTTGCATTGACATGGTTTGTAGGGAATTGTTCCTAAAATTTGAGTAAATTCTTGCTATTCATTTCTTCTTCTTTTATATTTATTATTATTTTTTTTTGGTCCAAATTGTTGCCATTCACTTGATATTGCATTTTTCGAATCTTGTTGTAGAAAGTACAATTCCTGCAAGCCATTGTTTTATTCATCTTCTATTTCTTGTTACAGTTATTATAATTTTAGTTAATCTGATAAGTGTACTTCTGGTATTTGATAAGAGTTAATTTGGTTTGTGGAACTTTTTTTTTTTTAATAATCGGGTGTGTGTGTAATGCCCCGCCTTTCTATTACTGGGATTCCATTACCAAATCACTATTATAGATTTAATTTCAGAGATAACATACGTAAATTCTTTATATTTACAAGAACACATGAATAAAGATTCTCTAATCTGAATATAATATGAATGCAACAAAAGTTGTAATTAAATAAATTGCCCGTAAGCTTATATCTTTTAAACTAAGAGGAAGGGTTTAACCCTTTTACATCAATGGCATTCTGTCCACAAATAAAAGGCCCCGTGGCCAACAAGTAAAGAAGATCTATGACCTTGAAACACTTCTCGATGTTTACTTGAAAAAGGATTAGCAACGTGAGATGAACATATAGTCCAGTAGGGATCTCAACATGATCCTAAACAATAACAACTTACAGATAACTATGATCATGAATGCTGAGTCTCATACTATAATAATAATGTAACAGTTTATATAGAAATATACGTATATAAGAACTTTTCTCAAAATCATTCATTTCATTCAATAACGTAAGTCTTCTTATTACCTTTTTCCAAAATTCATATGACAACAACAAATTCTAGAAAACAATTTCACCAAGTCCATTACGTTTTCTCTTACTTTCCGGACTTGCACTTGATTTACCTTTTCAAAACATATTCACAAGTATCTAATATCCTTCACATTATTCACAATCTCAATACAGTACTTACGCCCGTTTCCAACACATTCATATCTATACATGCATACCTTTAGTACAACAGGAAACAGTAAGCAACCAACAAGAATCTAATCAACAAATGAGGCAAGTCGGCCTTCCAAAACTATAACCATCATAACCCATAACATACCCAGATACACTGAGAGAATAATGATAAATAAGTTCTGCTCTACCTGCCTTAAGCACCGTAAGCCAAGTATACACCTTTCCACAATGAAATGCCAATTTACTAGACACCGACTGGAAGGTAATGGTATCTCTGCCAAGTTCTCCAGGCGCTAGCTGGAAGGTACTGGTACCTCTCATTCTAAGCGCGACCAATTCTCCAGGCGCTAGCTGGAAGGTAATGGTACCTCTCATTCTCAGCGTAGTATACATTACCAATCATCACAACATGACAAAGTATAACCAACAAGTGTAATGCATACGCATAAACTATTCAACAAATTACAACCAACACAAGTATAATACATACACAACAATTCAACACAACAATGTCATCCTCCACCGATGACCAAGGACAAAACCTCTAAATGCATGTATTCAACACACGTATTATAATAATTCAACTCTCATGAGATTTTAAATCTAACAACAACAATAGTAAAATAAAATATTCATAATCCAACCTCAAGTTAATTTCTGAAATTCACATATGATTTCATTCTTCATTTTCAAAAATCAATTATCTTTTTTTCCAAGTTAACATACTCCACTCTTTATCCCAATCCATTCATTTCATTTCACAAAACTAATTCCATGGATATCAAAGCCATAACCCAACTCAATTTAATACGTTCAATCCAAAATAATTCCAATGCCATAGTTAATTCTCCTTTTTAGCTATTAACACATTTACACAACCCATAATAACAATTTACAAACATTATTGAACTTTACCCATTTTTAATTCACCAAGTCAAAACATTAAATTAGGGTTTTTTCTTCTTTCAACATAAATATGCTAGATTACTCCCCAATTAACCCAAACAACAATCAATTTAACAATCTCATTCCCAAATAACAAACCCTAGGTTCCCTTTCATGACTTTCAAAGAAATCCATAATGGATATGATTTTTATGTAATACAAATCTACCACATATCTATCTATAGATGAGGTATTGAAAAGGTACAAGGAAATCCCTACCTCAAGATTCGCAGCTCAAGATTTGAAGCTAAAGATGAAGACCTAACTTAAAACTCCAATGAAATTGCAAAGCAATCGATAGAAGTCTTGATCTATGCTTGCTCTTCAACCATCTTGAAAGATTTGGGCTGAATCTTGGGTAAATAGAAGAGAAATCAATAGTTTGGAAGGTTAGAGTTTCGTTTTGGAGGATAGGAGGAGAAGTGAGGGGGAAAAAATAGAGTTTTAGGGTCAAAAAGTCACTTTATAATGTCTGTTAGCGACGTGGTCGCTCGAGCATACAAAAGAAGCTCCCAAAATTTATGAAAATCGCGTAGTTCGCTCGAGTGAAGAAAAGCTCACTCGAGCGAGCATGCTTCCAGCACAGAAACTCGAAATTTAAACAGGTATAACTCTCTCGTCCGGACTCCGTTTAGGGTTGTTTTTGTGTCCAAATTGAAGCCCTGGAAGTAAGCTTTCCAATGGTTCTAGCCTCACATCAAGATTCAGAGTATGGAGAGAGAAAATGATGAAAGAGTGAAACTACTCAATAATATTTATTCAAATTTGGAGTTTTTGATTCAATCTCACCCAACCACTATGGTAACACCTTAACCAAGGCTTAAATAACAACTAAAAAGGTTCTCAATTAAGGTAATCAAAGGGTCAAATATAGTTCTATTATAATAGGAAGCATAAAGTGCTACAGTGTGGTCTGCGGTACTTAATATGGGGAATTGTTTGTGCTTTGGCAGATGATTGATGATCAAGACTTGGAATTCTTTGCCAACTTTCTTGGCATTTTCATATTTGTCTTGGTGATTGCTTGCCACTATGTGATGGCTGATCCCAAATATGAAGGAAACTGAAAGGGGCCCAGTTTTGCCAATACTTTTTCCATCTCATGTGAACATTCTTATGTTGGAATGTTGCTATAGTGATGAACTCTTATTTGGATTTCACATTTGCAGCACTCTCTGTCTCTATCCCTAATTCTTTTATTTTTTTAATTTTTTTTATACTTATAATTTTATTAATTACTTATAATACTATGGAGCTTAGTGGGTTGTTCTTATTATGAATAAAGTAGTTTAAAAAAAAAGTATGTTTCTCTAATTATTTTGTTGGAGCTCTATTTATGCAACTTTTGAAAATCATTACAGCTAATTCTCATTTGTTTTCCTCTATGCCATAAGTAGTTATTCCACCAAATGAAGTTTTGAATCTTTGGATTTTAACTGTTCGTCCTTTTCCTGACAGCCAGAACATCAGAATAGCGGCCTTGAATCGGTTGTTGTTGCTGCAATTCCCACATTAAAGTTCAACCAAGAGGCTTTCAATTCCATGCAAGATGCACAGTAAGTGCATTCACCTATCTTGTAGCCTTTGCGAAAAAATATTTAATTTCATATGAAAAACTAGCTTGTGAATGAAGAAATGTGAATAATCACCAAGAATAAATGTGAATGAATAAAATCACTTCTCAGTCTTTATTTAATACTATAAAATATTGTTATTGTCTTTGATGTGGATTTGTATCTACAGGAGGCCCTCCTTAGTCATGAATACAAATCTTATGTGATGAATTGGAACTCATCTATGTATTGTGGGGAATACTATATAATATGATGTAGAATAACATTACATACATTGCCTTTGGATTAAGAGACAATTAGTAAAATCTTGTCATGTACCATGATTATTTGCAATTACTCAATATGAATTATATGGTGTAATGACTGTAGGACAATCTTCACTGTATTTAAAAGATTTAATTCTATTGTGTACACAACAACAATTATAATTTAAAGAAATAAAAAAAAGGAGAGAATTTGTTTGATTACAAAAATCAAACTCGAAATAAAAAAAAAATAAAAACAGATTTTATTTTGTTACAAAAATAAAATTTAAATCTGATTTTAATAAATAAAAACAACACTGAAAATAAATTAAATAACTTACTTGATTTAATTTGTTCAAATTATTTTCTGATCAAGTCCAGTGTTTGACACTGTGTCCTTAAGACAGATTCGTCCTCTCCACGGTGTTTTCAGAATTTGGACGTCTATCTCCCAGGATGAAATGATCTTACCACAAACAATAGCAGCACTACAAATTGTTTGCCTAAAGGTGGCTTTTGGATTTGAATTGAACAGGTATGAAACCTGTTAGATTCAAATTTAAACAGATTTGAATCTGTTTATTCAAACAGATAGAAACGGGAAGGGCTCTGTTTGGATGAGCAATAAATCCAAAACAGTTTAATTCTGTTTGAAAACGGGAAGGGCCCTGTTTGGATGTACAGAAAATCCAAATCAGTTTAATTTGAATTCTGGATTTTATTTTAATAAAAAATAAAATAAAATTCAAATGTTTTTGGCCCAAAAAGATTAGAAGCCCAACCCAACCACACACCAGCGCCAACCCAGCCCAGCGCACCGCCAGCACCCAAGCCCAGGCCCAACCCGCCCGACGCGGCGCGCGTGTGGTGATTTTTTGGTCTAATGGGTCTAGCCCATTTTGCCCATAACCTCTCCCTTTAAAACACTTGGGTACCCCTTGGGGCACACCTCAAGTATCTCACCCAAGCCTTATAAACCCTTTCAAAACTTCCCACCAAATCAATGTCGGACAAGCCAATTTATAACCTTAAGGAATTTCCACCAAAACTCCATTTCCATGGAGCACACTTTGGCTTCAATTTCCCATTCACTCGGTAATGGTTTTGAGCAACCAAATATATCACGTGAATCACAACGCGGCATAGAACGCGTTACTACTTTGACCCGAGTAAATCGACACTCGGGACCCACCTAAAAAATAGACCAAACTTGAGAAAAAATTCTAATTTTACCCAGAATTTTTCTACCATTTCCAACAATGACCAAGGTACTATTGTTTATTGATAACTCTTCGCCCTTTCAGTTATGTATTCTATGTGTCCAACAAGATGGCTGATTACATATTTTGAGTAAAATAGCTTTGGATGTTCATGCTATTGTTCTTTTATCTTTTCAGTGAACCGTCACAATATTTATTATAATTGCCTCCACTTTATTTTGTTTTGATTTTCCTGGAGTTCGCCTGTTGCTTGTGTAATATTATATGAAAATGCAAATTATACGATATACTTTTGCCAAGTTGTGCAAAAAAGCAATTGGATGATGTTAAATATTGGCTTTATAATAAATGTGAGTTGTTTTCTTTCCTTCTCCTGTCATTCAAATTAATTTAAACTTTGTTTAAAGTAGCAATGACCTTTTTTCCTCTTTTGTTTTTTTTTTCTCCTACTGGTTTGAAGCATTCTGGAAATTTTAGCATTTGTTAGATAATTTTTTACTAAGTGCCGCAATTTTACACTCTGACACATTAGATAAACCTAATGATAATGGATTACACTTTTTTTAATTTTTAACTCTTGGATAATTATGCTCATATGCCCAGGTATTAAAAAAGGCGTGTTCGAGAAGATGCACACTACGTGCGCCTGTACAAAAAAATTATATGAAACTTTACTAGAAGAAGAATCAGATTTCTTATTGATGATTGCTTCGTAGAGAAGGTTGATTACTCCTTAATAGTTAAACATTTATTTCAAAATGGAAAAAACTATCTGTCATGATGTTCACATTTTTATAAAATCATTTGTACTCACACAAATTTCTAATGTTATTTTTCAATTAATTTTACAAGAAAAACTCGAAGGTGGATTTGTTTATAGTTCTAACTTTGAAAGGGGTGGCAACCTTGGTGGTAGAGAGAAGGAAAAGAGAGACGACAAAAAGCAATATTTCCAATTAGCTAACCTACATAGTTCTACTTTAAGACAACAAGGGTCCAATTTGTTAACTATTCTTTCCCACATAAAAAAAAATGGAACGACAACAAGGTGGGTGGAATCCAGTATTCCGTCGACGACAAGGTAGAAATGGGGCGGCAGCACAACTGCACACGATCTTTGTTGATGAGATCCCACATTTGATGAATCCTAAAGGTTTGTACACCATATTTTCCAACTTTGGAGTGGTCAAGGATGTCTACATCCCCGACAAACGAAGAAAAGCAACGAAAACCAGATTTGGATTCGTACGATACGACTGTCCTGTTGCAGCGGAGATTGCAATTCAGAAAGCCAATGGAGTATGGTGCGGCGATAAAGCTTTGAAGGTGAAAAAAGCAGATTTCGGAAAAGAAAAGAATCTGATTAATCCGAGACCAAGAGCATACAAACCAGATGGAGTCTCAACAGTGTCTGGCGCTGGGATTGGAGGGAGACACTCTTATGCTGATGTCTTAAAAGGAGGGAGGTCGGGTAGTGATAATCACATCACTATTCAAGCGGAGGAATATGCCATTGGTTGGCTACTATTGAGTGCAGTAATCAAGCTTAAACCTCATTGCAACTTTGATGGTTTCAAGATCGAATGTCATAACAAAGGATTGAAGGACATACAACTTAGAGAAGGAGGAGGCCGAAATGCGTTTATCACTTTTAACTCTAAAGAAGAAATGAAGCAATTACTGACCAGTTATGGAGGTTGGTTATCGGGGTGGTGTGAATCAATCTTTGAGTGGAACAAAGGTGTGAAGGTAGACAATGAAAGACTGGTTTGGCTGTGTGGTGTAGTTGTGGAGTTTAATGATAATGTATCAAGTATGAAGTCTCTGAAGTGTGGGAAAATCAGAATATGTACATCTCATCTGGAACATATTGACAAATTGGTTATTCTAGAAAAAGATGGTAGATCCTACCCTGTTCGAGTAGTTGAAGAAAGGGATTTGTTAACAACATCCCTGGATAGGGGTGACCATTGCTCTGCAACTCACCATGCAAGCAGGAGTGAAGGTGACGACGCAGGAAACATTGGGGCTGACGTGGAGAGAAGCCTCTACATGGCACATAGTAAGAAGTCTAAGGAGGCGGTGGTGGGAGCAGGACACAAGCACACGTGCCCTTCAGACTCTGTTTCGGTGGTTAACGAGACAGGCGTGGAGTTAGGAATTCGCAACCATGATGCTGTCCACCAAGCACTCAATGTCAGTCTGCAGGCACCATTAGAAAGGGAGGTTGACAGGGGTGAAAGACGAGGAGGTGGGATACTAGACACACCTAATGGGCCTCGTCCGCAAAAAGGGTTAAGACAGGGAGATCCCCTCTCCCCTTTCTTGTTCAATGTTGTTGCTGAAGGACTGAATCTCTTGTTGAAAAGAGCTAAGGAATTGAGAATTATAAAAGGGGTGGAAGTGGGTTCTAGTGAGGTTAATGTGTCTCATCTTCAGTTCGCGGATGACACTATCATATTTTGCGAGGCTGAGTGGGCTGAAATTGTGGCTATCAAACGAATTTTAAGATGCTTTGAAATGGTCTCAGGTTTGAAGATAAATTTTCATAAAAGTATGATCTGTGGGGTGGGAGTTGATCATGGGCTAGTTGAGGAGTTTGCAGAATTACTCAATTGCCAGAGTCATAAATTACCTTTTAAGTATCTAGGGTTGCCTCTCGGAGCCAACCCATGTCGTAAGCAAACATGGCAGCCAGTAGTGGATAGGTATAAAAAGAAATTATCAGGGTGGAAGCGAAGGATGCTATCCTATGCTGGCAGGGTCACCCTCATCAAATCTGTTCTATCTTCCCTACCTGTTTATTATATGTCTCTGTTCAAGATACCTGTGTGTGTGGCTAAGGAACTAGATAGGATTCAAGCAAGGTTTTTATGGGGAGGGGACGAGCTTAAAAGGAAAATTCATTTGGTAAAATGGAAAGAGGTGCAGTTGTATAAGAAGCAAGGAGGCCTGGGTATCAGAGACATCAGATTAACAAATGATTGTTTGCTTCTTAAGTGGTGGTGGCGATATGCCTTGGAAGATG